CGCCACGAGTAACATGTGAAACACGCCTTCCCACCGCTTTCATTATACCGCACGCCCGTACAAATAGCAACAAAGCGCTGTTGCGAATAAGTGGTTTACCAAATTTTTCTGTTGACAATGCCGGCCCAAACTGGCTGTCCAAACAACAAGCTGACCCACTGGACCGCTGACAATCACAAAGCCGAACACTCGATCACCTTTCAACACACTTTTTTATGTGGCACTTGTCTGTCGGCCAAATGATGGCAGTTTAAAGAAAAAAATTAATTTTATGAGATTTTTTTTAGTAGCGGTGACTGACGAAATGCTGCGCCATGGAATTAGTAGACGTATGAGCGATTGCGAGTGTCTGTCGCCGTTGCTTTGTTATTGAAGTTGTTTTATTGAAAGCCAAATGCTAATAAATTTAATACGACTTATGATCGTTTTCTTTATCGCGCACGTCAAACTTCAAATCCCTCATAGACACATTGTTATTCTTTTGTGTTTATTTTTAAATCCGCAGCCAAAGAAATAGTTGGCGGCGAAACGAAGAGACTGTTGCGGAGGAAAGTTCAAAAAACTGGCGTATGTATGACAGACGCTGGTGAATGAAAGGAAAATGTCATCAGCGTAAATTAACCAACTAACTAACTAAGTATGGCGCAACGGTCAGTGCTGATGAATGCGCTGTTGTTGAGTACATAAATACATGTGTATTTATAAATATTTTCTCTAGCTCGCATCAAAGTTTGCCTTTCCCTTTTTCCATGCCAACATTTTCCAAAATTTTCTTGCAGCTCTGCGGTCTAAACATATTTAAATACATGTAGCTACTATATATGGTAATATATATGTATACTCATCTGCCACCATTTCCATCCGTATTTGTGATATGGCACTGTCACCATCATCAGCGCGCATCCGACGACGCTTAAGCGGCTTATTTGTTACCTAATTGTATAACGGTGTATGGTCAGCTGAGTGCTTGACAGTCTAACTGACTGACTGTCTAATTACCACACGCTGTTCATGGTACTTTTCTACTCATTTTGGTCGCTC